AATTTGGAAGCAAAGTTCACTCTAATTAGGACCTAAAGATTCGATTATGATAAGATCTAGAAAATAGAGTTTGAACAATTGGAATATGAAAATAAAAAGCAACCACTTTAGTCAATAAAAGGGTGCCCCATTGATAAGAGCATCTCCAACCATATCATCTTAGTTTGCTAAAAGTTATAATATAGCTAACTAAACCCTTTTGTTCTTCTCCAAAGGGTATGCTTTATTTTAGCAAGTTTGCCAAAAAATGACTTTGGCTTGCTAAATATAACAAGCTCCTCAAACTTTAGCAAGCCAATACCTAAAAAATAAAATAGCAAATTATGGTTGGAGAATGAAACAAAAAAGTGCTTGTTATATCACTATTCACTTTCTATAATGTAAAAATAACAAATCCATATAACAAGCATGGTTGGAGATGCTCTAAGGGGCGCTAAAAATGCTAAAAACATTAATGATATCTGGTTCCCATGACATTGGTTCCCAAGGGGATGATATCTATATTCTATTCAAAAAAGGAAAATTCGCATTTTCCCGCTCATATGTGTAGGGCACAAAAGATAATTGTTAAAACTTGAACACCTTGGTTCCCATGACATTGGTTCCCAATGTCACGGGAACCTTCCCCAAACTTGAAATAGTAAACGTTAAATGTTAATGCACATTAGCGTGTTTAGTTTAATTAGTTTTTTTAACCCATGCACGGGTCGAATGATTTTTTTGTCGATTCCAAATATTTAATTTAACTTTTTAATGTTTTTTTTATTTTTGTATTCTAACCCTTAAGATCTGTTAGGCACAGAAAAAAATTTCCACCAAATTAAAATCTAGTTCTATTTTTCTATGTTAGGTTGCATAAGTAGCAGAAATCATTTTTTTGGGATAAATATTCTATCAAAGATAAGAAATGACTTTCAATTGTTTTGAATGAAAATCTTCAAATACTCTCTTTCCACGAGTTCATTCCCCCATAGAGAATATAATGAAGCTCTATTATAAAGATTTAATATAAATCGTGTATAAAAACATAATATGCTCCCTAAAATATTTAACAATTATCTTAAATATCTCTCCTTCTTATTCAAATATCAACAATATAGTAATATAAAAAATACTTTTTTTTAACAAATAATTAATTTTTTTGTTTAGAAATAACTTCATATCAAACAACAGAAAATATGGAGCATAGTTTTCCATGGAAATTATTTTCACTTACATATTGTTTCACTTAAAATTATTTTCACTTATATGTTGTATGCGATGGGATAAATAAAATTACAACATGAAGTAATTATTGATCACTCACTAATTTCATTATTAGAAAAATAGATAAAATATTCAAGCAACATAAAAAAGGAAAAGTATCACTCAATTTTTAAAACGTTTAGATTGAAGAGCACAAAAATAGTGCGAAGAAGAAAAAGAAACATTATTGACTCTAATTAAAATGTTTGTGTGAATGTAGATTTTGTCATATTTTACAAATTCACAAAAAAATCATTATTCATTTTTTTATTTTCTACTTAAACTCAAAATGATTCAAGTTCACAAAAATGACAAAAATATTTTCATTAATATAAAATATTTTTTCAAAATACAAATGTCTTAAGCTATTCACCAAATGTAGCATTTTTTCACTTTAATATTTTTCTCTAAAATCTATACAAAAAACAATTATTTTCCCACGAGAAGGTTTGAACTAACTATTAGGGTCTTTCACATGCAAAATATCCCTAAAACTTCTATCCATTGCTTCAAAGAAATACTTATGAGTCATTGGAGCTTCATCCCGTATATAAGAGTACTCCTAATTATGAGTTGAGCAAGAGGACTCCCTTGGTGAATAATGCACATTGACTCTTCTTTAGGAGTTATAAGAATTTTAAACCGTGAATGTGCAGTTCTTCCTCCAGACAAAAGAAGAGATGCAATACCACTTGATGCGACATTCCATACAATTTCTCCTTTGGAGCTTAGTGCCGCAGATAATATTCTCCACAAGAAGGTTTTTTTCGGTGCCTTCGTATCCATACACAAAAAACATTCCACCAACTTTATTTTGTATGGCAGCTATATTTGAAGAGTACACGTGTTATTATTCATTAGTCATTTGAGATAATAGTCTTGAATGCTCTTGACCCATGTCTTTTTTTATCATAGCACAATTCATCGTTGATTAGTCTATTTTCAAACACTTGAAAGTATTGCGCATCAGGATATGGCATATAATGGTAGTCTCTCAAACTCTTTACATAAGTACGTGTAACAAAGAATCTATCTCTGCAAGGGTGTAGTTCTTGATTTCTGCTTCTGTAAGATGCAAACCTACAAAAAAATATCAACTAATTTAATTGTGAAATGCATCCTGCTAGGAGGTTTATAAAAAAAATAAGTAAAGTCAATTAATTTTGTATATCGGGGTATTGTAGGAGCATGAGTTGACGATAAAGAATATCCTTTGACAAATAAGTCCAACATTCATCCCAAACATCCTTAGGCCGTACTAAATATTCTGATGCCAAGAAAGTTGCAAACGAATTTTGCAAAGATCTCTCTGATGACCAATTGCTTGCTTCAATTATTGCATCAATATATTCCTTATCATCGTCTACCAACACTAGAGCACAACATGTGTCACGAAATGTTAGATGTACAATTCCATTTACAATTTTAATATCTTCATAGCTACATGGACCCCTGACCAAATTAAGAAGACATTGCAAATAATATACTTCACCAGAAGCAGGAGGAACATAGTACATTCGACCAATAAAAAATCTTTTTTGACGGGGTTCCCATGCCTTTTTATCCATTTTCTAAACAAACCAAGTAGGAAATTCAGCTTTGGTAAGAAGCTTGGCTCTGGGGTAAGTTTTGTTAGCTTCAAATCATGTTTGAAGTGCAACTTAATTTGTGAATATGAATTCGAAAACTTAATATGAGACGGATGGAGTAAAATTTTTTTATCTTGGTTTCCAATTATGGAGATCCTGAGGAAGAAGGCAAGATCCTTCCAATTGGAAGGTGAAATTCTCAAGGAAAAATAGGAGTGAGCGCGGTCCATAACAGTTCGTGATACTACCGGATCATAAATGTACCGATTGATTTATTAAAAATGTGAGCTAGTCTTTTTTCATTAGGGAAAATGATCAAATTAAGAGTAAAACGTAAGTCATACCCTTTAAATAAGAGTTGAAACTTAAACTCTATAGTAAGCTTATTTACCAAACCCCTATCCTCTTTGTTTTATTTCTGACATACATTAAAGATACTAGTTAGTAAGTTTTTTTCTTGCATGACTATGTTTTGGCCAACATTGAAAAAATCAAAAAGAAAATAACAAAAAAACACAAAATAAATTACTCTGTATTGAGTACATCCCTAAAAACTAACAACCAGGCCGTTACACCTTGCTGCTGATGTGCCATCACACCTTAAGATGCCAGTGATTTTTCACGTTGCTACCAACACCACCAAGTCTGTCTTTACCGCCACCGACACCACCAAGTTTACCTCCATCGTCGCTGACACCACAAGGATATGCCATCGTCGCTGCCGACACCACAAAGATCTGCCATCATTGCCGCCACATTGTTATAAATTATAATGCCACAAATAACTATAAAAAAGAATTGTCAATACAATGTCAACCAAAACAACAATGCCAAATGTTACAATGCACCATGACATACATGTCACTGCTTAATGTCAAATATGTCAATATATAATGCCATAAATAATGTAAAGTGCCAAGAAAAACTATGATTTACCAACATACAATACCAAATTTCGTACCATACTACCAACAACAAAAATCTAAAAAAAGTACCGAAAATTTACTCCACACTATAATTAAAATTATCATACTGTTTTCATTTTAAAAAAGCCACAACACAATGCCAGTTGTGTGAGAAGAAAAGATAAAATTTAGCTTTTGTTTTGGTTTTAAAAAATTAATATCTATACATAAATAGTGTGGGAAAGAAAATAACTTCAAAGAAGATCCACGACCAGAGTTGAACACGAGATACATTTCCAATTCACCAACTTAATTAGAACCTTTTTCAATGATAAAATTCTAGAGATAAGGAGCAAAATAAGAGCAAAACATTATTAATACAACAAAATACGAGTGGAAACGAACCCCCCCATAATAAGAGCAATTTAAATAACTCATTTGGAACAAATATTAGCTAGCCAAGCAACCAATCACAAAAAAAATATATTAAAAAACCAAACTCCCCCGCAACAACCTTTTGCTGACGCCCCTTGCCGTTGCCACAACCATACTGTTGTCAAATGAATCTTCGTTGCTGTTCACGCTTAGGTCCGGACCATAAAATTGACCGAACCAGACCGTTATGTCTAGACCGGACCTGGACCAAATGAATTTCCGGTCGGTCTTTGGCCCAAAAAGTTTAGGTGTTCGAGTTTCGGTCCAGTCAGGTCCAAATCCAAAATAATTTAGGTCCAGACCATTTGGACCGAATGAACCTAATAACCATATTAGACCTAAAAGACCTAAATGCTAACACTCTACTTTTTAAGTTTCATATTACACTTTGGTGCTCTATTTTACTACATATCTTTATTAATCTAATGAAAAAGGTTTTTTAATAAGTCAAAAAAAAGTTATTTATCTTTATTACAAAAATTCAAAAAAAATCCCATTACTCCATAGTTCTTATGATTCTACATAGGAGAAATTCATGTTGTGTACCTCTCTTTAGATTTTCTATATTTTATCTTTTTCTATTTGTACGATACAAAATAAAAAGATTAAATATGTTCAAAATAATTAAAAAATATATTTTTTTATTCGGTCAAATCGATTCAGATCGATTCAGTCCTATAAGTATTTCGGTCCGATTCGATCCGAAACCCAAATAAATTTAGGTCGGGTCTTCTATGGACTATTTTATTTAATTTGGTCGTTGGTCCTATACTCCTATTGGAGTCGATCCGGTTCGATCACCAATGAACAGTCCTACTCTGCTTCACCGCGCCAGAGCAGACTTGAGACTCCCTTCCACATTCATCTCATATCTTTTGATAGTACCCACACTCCCCTACTACGTTGTTCCCAGCTTCGGAATCGCACTCTTCCATGCCGCACCATCATCAGGTCTGAACAATTCTTTGTAATTTATAATTTCTTCAACTCTTTTCTTTGGAAAACTGATTTTCTGAAATTGGGTTGGCGTTCTTTCACCGAAAGGTTGCGTTTTTCACGCCACTGAAGGATATCAGTGCGGAGGCGGAGGAGGGATCAGGCTCAATTCCGAAGATACCCATCAATGAAGGCCCTAATTGTCTTGGCCGCAGTTGTGTTCCAGCCAATGATAAACGGATCAGCCGGAAACATCTTACTGTCATTGCCACTTCGGGTGGCTCTGCAGAAGTGTTTGTGGTAACCCTTCAATTTATTTTGGGTGCATGAATATGAATCTTGAAATATATTCTGTCTGCCGTCTTGATTTAATTCTCCACTTAGCATAATACCTCAAATTTAAAGATTACTCTTTATGGTGCAATGCCAAACCTAGTCACCTCGCGTGTTTGATATTTCATATTGGTAACCAAATATTTGTTGTAGTGTTTGTTATACATCAAGGTGCATTGGCCAATTTCATATAGTTTTATTCTCTAACTGGAAAGATGGAATGGAGAACAGTTAATGTAGTGCTTCTTCCGTGTTTGATAATGAAACTCTGGAATTTTGTGCAACTACTGTGCAGTGTAGTCTGGTTTCGCTTCATGCTTTGGCGTTTCATTTGAAACTTACTGTAATGTGCTATTGTAGGAAGGTACAAACCCAGTAGTTATAAGATCAAAAGGAGTGAGGAAGAAGCTTTTGTCAGGAGAAAGGTGGGAAATCGGTGACCGTGATGTGGTAGAGTTGATACCTGGACATTACTGTTTTAGGTACACAGCTCTTAGGAATGTAAACTCACCACACAGCCGGAACAAAAGGCCTCTGATCATTGAAGAAAGTAGTAGTAGCAAAGAGGGAGGACACAGCCTCAAAAAAGCTAGAGAAGTAAGAAGTCTCTAAGGATTTCTTTTAATAAAGATTATGAATGCAATATATTTTTCTCGATACTATATCTAGAATGTTTCTTCTTTTTTGTTTTATGATAGAATGGTTTGGAGCCCGATAGCCATAAAACAGAGATTCTTGTAGAGGCAATACGTTATTTTGATGTCCCCAAGGATAAGTTATCCCAAACATTCCGGTTGCTTAGAGTTCATGAGCTGCCAGCATGGGCAAACACTAATGCTGTTTCCATCCATGATGTAATACAGGTATAAAATGTTGTACATGCGTATGATTGTAGAAATGGTTCCCTTCCGTTGTCTCCCAAAAAGATTTATTGTAGATATACTATTGTAGTATTTGTTCAAGTATGAAAAATCTACTGATCATTGGCTTTTCTTTTGCAAGGTTAACTCTTAGGTTCAGTTTGGATGTAGGGTTTTGGAGAGATATACACTATAGGGCTTAATCTATATCTTTATTAATAGAATATTTCTGTTTACAGTTTAAGGATGATTAAAATGTTTTATGATCATCTATAATGTCATTTCTTTAGTTTTTATAAAATCTCAGATATAAATCCATAAAGTTTGGAGGTCATGGTCTAAAAGTTAGGCCTTAAAAGGCATATTATTTCTAATACCTGCGTAATGAACATTGTCTTGATAGTTGTTTTCTAAAATATTTTGATATTTCATAGTTGTATTTCTGTGTTTGCAGGGGGATGTGCTTGTAGCCATCCTTTCCAATTACATGGTAGACATTGATTGGCTACTCTCTGGTAGGTACTCACCTTTTGTAATTGCGCAATGAGGCTATGCCTCAATGATTTTTTCCCTAAATGCACAACGAAACTATGCTTAAAACATGCAACAGCAAGGTTTACACCATATGGGGTTGTGGCATATGCCTCATTGCCCAATGCAATGAGGTTTAGTTGAGGCTTAACAGTACTGTTTACCATATTTTAATTTTGGCCCTTATTATAAAAAGGCAATAGTTTCCTTTCAAACTTTCATAGAGGGGAAACTACACTTGATTGAGGATGAAGACAATATTGATGCTCATGTTTTCCTTGATGATGACAAAGGACATGGCTTTGGTCTTGATCTATATCTTGATAACAAAGGAGATAGTAGTGGTTTTGACCCCAATTTCAAACCACTTGATAGTGATAACCCTAAATTTCATTCCTCAATCGGTTGAACTTTAAACTTTTATGAATAAGACTATTTGATATTATGGATGCTTGAGCTTACTAATTATAAGGTGTTATGAACTCCTTGTCGATGGATTTGACTTAGAGGTTCCTTGAAGTTTATTTAATATTTTATCGTATTATCTTTAATTTATTGTTATTATTATTTGCAATTATTTTTTACAATTTGTACTAAAAATGAGGCCTATGCAATACGCAATAGAGCCAATCTGCCTCAACTATGCAGTATGCGGTTACGAACATTGGTAGTTGAGCATACTTCATGTTTCACTAAAGTGATTTCAGTCTTGTAGAATCTTATCTGCACTTAACATGCTACTTTCATTGTCCAATTATGTTTCTTCCAGTCTTCCACAAATGTTCTTTTCTCGTTTTTAGTAGCATCAAATGCTATTTGTTCATCAATCATCATAATATCGGCATTGGTGTTTCTTACTCATATTCCCAATGAATATTCATATATGCCACATTTTCCATTCACCATATTTTCTTGTAAACGTTTGAAGAAAGAATAGTATTTGCTTTCATCATGCATCAGCCTACCCGTCATGTGACATTTTTCCCACCAATCAATGCCAATTTTTCCATTTGAAATTGATGGTTTTTTTTTGTTTTGCAGTATGTCCCACTCTTAAAAAGATTCCCCAGGTTCTTGTTATACATGGAGAAGGTGATAGTACCGTAGAACATATGAAGGTTGGTAGAAATCCTTTTCCATGGATATTTTCTTCTGTTAAGAAAGTGAATGTACTTAAATTTCAATTTTTTAATATTACATGTTTATTCTAGAGAAGCAATCTTTCAAACTGGATTCTACACAAACCTGCATTGCCCATATCATATGGGACCCATCATTCAAAAGCCATGATTCTTGTGTACCCTAAAGGGGTCAGAATTGTTGTACACACTGCGAACTTGATATATGTTGACTGGAACAACAAAAGTCAAGGTTTGTGGATGCAAGATTTCCCGTGGAAGGACCAAAATAGTTCAAATACGGAATGTGGCTTTGAAAGAGACTTGATTGACTATCTTAGTGTGTTGAAGGTAATAATGTATGGAAATTCTTGATTGAGGACAATGTTTCATATTTTCAAGAGTCTATCTTAAAACTCTTTTATTTTCTCAAACTACCATTTTTCCTTGTTTAATTTATTTTCCGTGCTTTCAGTGGCCTGAGTTCAATGCAAATATACCAGGGCTTGGAAACTTCAACATCAATTCCTCATTTTTCAAGAACTTTGACTATACCCGCGCAGGGGTAATAACTTTTTGGAGACAATTCTTTAATCAGATTATGGTTATCAATTCTTGAGTGTTATGATTTCATTTCCAGGTCAGGCTAATCGCCTCCGTCCCTGGATATCATTCAGGTCCAAATTTGAAAAGGTGGGGACATATGAAGTTACGTACTGTCCTTCAAGAGTGTACTTTCAGCAAAGAGTTTGAGAAATCTCCTCTTGTTTATCAGGTATATGGATTGTTTTAGGTTTGCAGCATTTCAAAAGTCTTGGTGCTTAATGGGATATCATTCCTTGACACAACTTTTTTTCCCCTATAAATGGATCTATCTATCATAACTACTAGGTAAAGTAATTTAGCCATTTATATGGTAGTGTCCAAACTCCAAAGGGCCATTTTTTCAGATGTGGTGTTATTCCATTGCTGCAGTTTTCATCTCTTGGTTCTTTAGATGAGAAGTGGATGACAGAACTTGCAACTTCAATGTCAGCAGGGATGTCAGATGATAAAAAGCCCCTTGGCTTAGGGGAGCAAATGATAATATGGCCTACCGTTGAAGATGTCAGATGTTCATTGGAGGTTTTTTTCTTTTTTTTGGGTATAATGTTTGTAAAATTTTAGACTTTCATTCCTAGATAAGTGTGTTAATGATGGTCATTTTGTGGGTATTGTATTCATCCTGCAGGGATATGCTGCTGGAAGTTGCGTCCCAAGCCCATTAAAGAATGTGGAGAAACCATTTCTGAAAAAATACTGGGCAAAGTGGAGAGCAACCCACACTGGTCGTTGGTAAACTGCCCATTTATTAATGAATATTGAATAAATTGTGGTTCCTAATCTCCATTCGGTTTTAAGTGATCATTATGACTTGTGTGATGCATTGAGAGTTGAATGAATATGGACATACATCATGTCTACATCCATTCATTTTTTAATACAACAACCCAGTTGAATCCCACGAGAGTAGAGTGAGGCGTACGCAAACCTTACCCCTACTCTTAATTAGAGGGACATTCATTCATTATTATTTTTTTCATTTTTTAATGTATCAAGAACATTATAATGGTCATTTAAAAAAGAACCAAGGGAGTATGTAATTATCATTCAACAACAAAACCCACTATAATCCCAAATCTATTGGGGGTCAAGATGCATGCAACCTTACCATGTAAACAAAATTAGAGGGGTTGTTTCCATTAGACGCTTGATGCATTTCTGCATTTACTCACCAAACTTCATAGTAAAAAGTAAACAAAGTTTGATGTGCCATTTTCATCAAGTCCGTTATTTAGGCGAAGCTAAAACATTGTCTATAATGAATCTTATAATCTTTGATTTTTAGGCAAAAGGGTAACTCTTGTCCTTTTAAAGAAAGAAACTTACCCGTGTGCTATTAAACTTTTCAGTCGAGCAATGCCTCATATAAAGACGTTTGTTCGTTACCACGGTCAAAGTGTAGCGTAAGATCCTATTCATACCCACTCCTTCCTTGAACTAAATATGGAGCCAAGTTTTTATCCTAGTATATTTTTATGATTTGAACAGATGGTTACTGCTTACTTCTGCAAACCTCAGCAAAGCCGCCTGGGGAGCTCTTCAAAAAAATAATTCCCAATTGATGATTCGATCATATGAGGTACGAAAGATGCACTTTGAACACTAAAGGGAGTTTCTTTTTTTCCTTCCATTTTTTCTCTCTTGTATTTACAGATTTCCAAACAGATCCTAAACTACCCGATAATATAAAACTGATATTGCGTCTGAATTATCGCCAGCTGGGGGTGTTGTTTTTACCATCTGTCAATTGTGAAAGTGGATTTTCTTGTACGGACGAACGCAGTAATCTCTCTAAGGTTTGTCAATTAATTTGGTCAATGTAATTATGTGATTTGTGACTTCTAACTTCTCATAATGGCTTAACCCCACAGGTTAAAAAATCTACAATGGAGAAAGAGAGAAGGGCAAAGCTTGTAACTATAGCTTGGCAAGGAAATATAGATGCAGACTCTCCTGAAGTTACCAAGTTACCCTTACCCTATGAGCTTCCTCCTACGCGATACTCTCCCGAAGGTGAAAACTCCTTTCAGGATAAAATTTCAACTCTTAATATTTAGCTCGTCGAATCAGTAATTTTTTTTCATTTACCGACATTCGATTATACGTTTACCTTTATTGTAATGCAGATGTGCCCTGGTCATGGGATCGTCGTTATGCCAAGAAAGATATATACGGGCAACTTTGGCCTAGGTAAAGGACTGTTGGAAACAAGTACAAATGTGTTTGGTTGGCCCTAACCTGGGTTTCACAAAGAACTGCTTTTGTATATTCTCAAATAGAACATGATGATGATATACTCTTCTTAATCAGGGTTAGTTCCCCAATGTATAATTTGCATGCATATTCTAGCCCCAGGTTAAACCCAAGGTTTTGAAGTCATTTCTTTTACTCCTATGGTAAGGACTGGGCTATGACCGGACTGAAAAAACCCGGACCGAACCAAATAAGGGTTGTTTTTTTTGTATTTTATTTTTCCAAAAACATATGATTTCATCTATTTGATTAAAGCAAATAAAAGCAACATAGTCCCTCTGCCCTATGGATGTCATTGGATTGAGTATCAATTGGACACAGCTTCACCCTCATTCATCATTTCACTCTCCATACATTCATTATAGGACCATGCTACTACACTTACACCAAAAAATATACCCCATTTGTACACCACAGGTTTGCACAAACATTTCGATGGTTTACACCGACACAAGTGTTGGTGCTGCGTTAATAAAAATTCACACGGACACAAATGTTGGTGTGTTTAACAAAAATTAGTTTTACAACAACACAAAGTATTGGTGCAAAACTGCGGGGTACAAATTAGGGTACAAACCTTGGGGTACACATAGCATAATCCTTCATTATATGTTGCCTACATCATCCGATCACCCGATTCATTCACATCCGAGGATGAAAGAATGGTGGTAAAACGAGTGAAATTAACAATATTGTTTGTAATTACTAATAGCAATTTCATTATTTTATCATAAAGAAAAAATAGTACTCCCTCCGTCTTAAAACTTTCTTCCCGTTGCGCAAAACGAAGAAAAATCCCAAGTTTTTTCAATCTATTTTATTTAAATATTGGTATAGAAATAAAAAATAAAACATACATATTTAAAAACTACATCAAAAGTTCAACAAAACAAGTAGTGACAAGAATATTTTATTTTATCACATAGGCCATGAAAAAACACAAATAAATATAAATTCCCATGAAGTTGGAATAGTGCTCTGGGAAGAAAGTTTTAGGACTGAGGGAGTACTACGTAATAATAAAAGAACATCTATTTTATTTGACAATAAAAGTACATACAGTTCTCATTAAGCTTTAAACACAATTAAAATTAGAAGTGAAATAACATCCCCAAAATTCTCATACATTACTTCTATATAAAAAAATTACTGAATTTAGTACAAGTATTTATAAACTAACCTATGGGAATTGGGTCGGATGGTGGGTCGTTGAAATAAGCATATGGTTTATTATTATTATTATTGTTGTTGTTGTTGTTGTTACTACGTAGTATTATTTTTCTTTACCGATAGGAATGTGTCTTATGGCAGAGAGGGTGCCGGATGGTAAAAATCTTCAACCATATCTGATAAAATACTTCGTCTGTCCCTAACGTACTCCCACACACCCCCACCCCTCAAATTGCACCACCCGCGCTAAACAAGTTTATGCAAAATAGGAGTAAATGAGGTTTTTTATAAGAACTTTTGCATTTATTCATAACATCAACATGTAAAACAACACAAATACAAGGTGGAGAGATAGACACCCACTACAGAGAATAATGAATAATGAGGCCATGGGTATGAATGTATGATGACATATGCATGTATCAAGAAAATTTTAAACCACCTTTCAAAAAACCAAGAACTGAAGGAAGAACCACATAAAATCCAGCTTCTTGGCATGGCATTCCTTTCCCTTTTCATTTATACCAGCAAGAACCACATAGCCCCCCCCCCCCAAAAAAAAAAAAAACTTTTTTATTTCCCAATTCATCTGGTTTGAGAAAGTTGGAACTAAGAGTTGTTTTTCTTGATCAATCTTTCTTTTATCACACATCTCTAGATTGTTTTACACATTAAACCTTCTTCTTCTTCTTCTTCTACATCTTCCTGTGTTTTTTTTTGTCAAAGACTTCAAAGTGATAAGCTAGGCCAACTCTATGTAAACTCAATATGTAGCCACTTCTATGGTCATTGGCTTGGGCTCGTCTTCGGCTAACTTCACCTTCGGTTTAGCCGAGCGGGTTGACCTTGATGAAGCAGATGAACCACTTGACCTGAGCTTCTTTCTTTTCTGTTTCTTAGCACCACAAGGAACCTCTCTAGATTGTGTCGTGTCGTTGCAAAAATCAGATCCCGATTGCAACTCTGCACGATATGCCTAGAAATTATACATGGGGAAATGTTCCAAAAGCTCATATTTGGCTACACCTTGATCAAAGAATTTGCACTAAGAAGAAAGAAACCCCACCTTGGGAAGACCATGGAGAAAGTCCATGTCCCAAATGACCAATTGTTGGTGAAATAAAGTCAGGCCCTGCCTTGAAGTCATTCATCTACAATTCATGCCAAGATGAATGGGAAATTGGGTTAGATTACTTATCTTACATGTCCATATTAAAAACAAAAAGAATGGAAAACAGAGAAATATGCATACCCAAGTAGGTGCATTACCAGCTTGACCATCCCAACCAATGTGTGCAACATGCTTAACATCTGTTGGCACTCCAATCTCAATCTCAATCTCGCGATCTTTCACTACTGCAATTATAAAAAACTAGCACATTTTTAAGAATGTCCAGAAAAAGAAAATCAAGAATTCACACAAAACAAAAAATAATGGAATTTATTCGTTGGGAAATACCAAAAATGTTAGAGATGTATTTGAATCCCGCTTTGAATGACCCTTTCATCTTGGTTAGACTCGTCTCTGCCTATGGGAAACGGATAAAAGCCTGCAGTCGATAATGCATTTAGAATTCCTCTCAAATTTTCAATTTTAATCACATAAAGTTTCAAAATTTACCTTCTGGGAGAGCAAGAATTGCATAGATGAAAAAACCCAAAGTTTTTCTTCACAATTTGGGCGAAAATCGGGCATGGAGGAAGAACAGTATGGGAAAGAAATCAGATATAATTATGGAAAGGGCCACTTTCTGGGGAGAGATAAAAAACGATAGAAAGAAGAATGGGATTTGGGAAGTAAGGGGAGAGCCACGAAACCTCCCAGAGAAAGCTGAGGGGTTCGTTTCTTTACATTTTAGTACTCCCTATTTTACAAATGAAGTCAGGGATAAAGAGATTTGGGAGAGGAAATTGCTAAATATGGTTTTGTTCTTTTAGTGTCTTTTAGAATTGTAAAAATTAACTTCAAACTCCTTTAATTTTCTAATTTTTGGATCATTTTAGGTGTATTTAATAAAATAAAAAAAAACATATAGCCTCACAATCATAATATATACCGTATAATCGGTTGTACGATGTTTTTAGTACATTCACGATGAGTACTCATTTATGAGTTACTAAATACTCTTTTAATTTTTCTAAAATTCTGTTATGCTAAAAAAAATGAGTATTCAATTAATCGAATATGAATATTCATGCGGATGTACGGAAAACGTCGTACTTCCAGTACAGGTACTCTCTATTGGCTAGAGATAAGCTCCAACTCAGTTTGCTGCATATTACTCCCATGCTCTCAACAACCGCACGTCGTTGTTGTATTCTCTACTCCTGGAGATCAACAAACTTTCTCATAGAAGCCGTTATCTTCGCCAAATCTTGTGTGTACTCCCCAGGTTAAGCGAAGGTAAACAGGTGCTTTCTCTTGTTGTTTCAACAGGGCAGTCGACTTGGTTCTCTGGTGGGCAAGCTAAGGAAGAAACCGTTTAGTGAGTCATGGAGAATGTTTTCCCTTCGTCGTCGTCAACGTCATTCAGGTTAATTGACACTCTTGAATATGACTGACCCGAGCTGACGTCAGTGGAAAAATTCATTTCGAAATATTTCGAAACCTAACACTTCATAATTGGATGCCACTTCGTGTACTCACGCACGAGCTTCTGCAAGTTGATGCTAGTGAAAGGTGCGATCCGATTAGTCACGTACTGTATCAAGGTGTCTTACGTGACGTTCTCACCACTTTTCCCACTCATCTGTTTGTTCTTTGTTTCGTTCCATATGCCATTGAACTTTAGAACTTTCACTTGCAAGTCAGGCCATTTAAAAGAGATCATGTCTCTCGACCGGTATTACCCCTTCCCCATCTCTTTGAAAAAATTGGTCCGAAACCACATCCAAAAATCTGAAGAGGTTTGGTTACACCCAAAATTTGTCACCTTTAAAAAATGATAGAATTAATATAAGTAATAAAAACAGTATAAGATTAAAAAAAGAGTAGATATAATAAAAGTGAAAAAATTGCACCAATAACCAAATCCTCACACGTGTCGATGTATGCAAGGGCAAGGGCAAGGGCAACTTCAACGTCGTAAGTCTACCTAGTGGTTTCCGAGACTAGCTCCCCCCTCCCCTGCCTTCATCTTGTGTAACCTTGAGCCTCTATGCATGGGTTCAAGGTCCGCCTCACGCTAGACCTTGAAATTATATATATATATATATATATATATATATATAATCAAGTGAGAATGCAATCTAATAAAAGAAATACTACCTCCGTCCCACTGTCTTTGTCCACTTTTGACTTTTGGAACTGTTCATCTAAGCACTTTGACTCATCAAATTCTCTCAATGTGTAAGCCTAAATATAGTCATGTGTGATCTTGTTTGATTTGTCTTAACATATAGATTATTAATATATAATTTCTATAATTTTTTAATATACAAATTACAAGATAAAATGGTTTAAAGAAGTGCATTGGATGGTGTGCCAAAAGGTAAGTGGACAAAGACAGTGGGACGGAGGGAGTAAGAATGAATCTCGCATGCATTAGACGTAAGATCCAAGGGCTTGAAAAATTCAAAAAAAAACTAAAAAATCTGAAAAAACATGGTGACATTATGGTAAATAAGTTGAACTTTACTCCTAGTGCCGAAAATGCACTACCAAAATGTAATAATACATCGTGATGGCATAAAAATGCACCATCCTCACGATAAGGTCTATTCTCATAATAAGAACCATTCTCACTTGAACCAACCAACACACTCACACTCACAGATACATACATACATACATACATACATACATACATATATGTATGTATGTATGTATGCATGTATGTGAAAGTCAAAACTGGACAAATATACATGGACATATGTAATACTAACTAATATTTTTTTTTTGATTGAGTAAAGAAGAAATTGAGAGTGGTGAAGATAGATGAGTGAAGATATGACAATTTATAGAACTTTTTAATTAGATGTAAGGATTAAAACCAAAAATCAAAAATAAAAAATACTCCTTTGGTTCCTATAACAAAGTTTATATTTTGGCTAATGGAAGAAATAAGAAGTGCGTATTTGTAGTTGACTTTCCAAGTTTTCCCTTAATATGATGGGTAAAAATAAGATATGATAGGTAGATTATTTGTGAAAAAGTATGACGTGATATATAGGGTAAAAAAGAGATAAAAGTGGGTTTTAATAAAATTTTTCTAGAAGATGTAACAATTAAAACCAACAATAAATAATTAAAAATACTCCCTCCCTTTCAAAAAAAGAGTTCCTACTTCCTATTTTGACTAAAAGGTGAAAGAGAAATTTACCTAAATAGGACTAAAACATAATGACTTTCCTTATATAGGAACATATGTTTTTATTTCCCAATGTAGGACTTTTGGTCATTAACAATTAGTCATTATTCAAGTAAATGTCCATCATTACTGGACATTATTCTTCCCACTAGGTCATTATTAAGTCCTATTTAGGGAATAAAAAAGTTTAAATTGGGAAAGTCATTATGTTTTAGTCCTATTTAGTGCAAATTTTATAAGGTGAAATAATAAGTGTATATTGGTAGTTGTCTTTCCAATCTTGTCATTAAGGTGATGAGTAAAAATAAGATATGATGAGTAGATTATTTGTGAAAAAGTATGATGTGATAAGTATAGTAAGAAAAAATAGGGATAATTTTTTTTTTAATAATCCGTAGAAAATTAAAGTCTTTTAGGAAAAGAAAAAAAATAACAAATGAAGTGTTTTAAGAAACGTAGCCATTATTCAACGGCTCGGACCGTAAAAGTTTGAAGCGGAACCACAGTAAGGGCGGTCACCTCTTAGAGCATTTCCAACCATGTTTGTTATATAGATTTGCTATTTTTACATTATAACAAGTGAATAGTAATATAGCAAGCACTTTTTTGCATCATTCTCCAACCATTATTTGTTATTTCATTTTTTAAGTATTGGCTAGCTAAATTTTGAAGGACTTGTCATATTTAGCAAACCAAATTCATTTTTTGACAAACTTGCTAAAATAAAGAATGCCCTTTGGAGAATAACAAAATTGTTTAACTAGTTACTCCGTATATTATAACTTTTAGCAAGTTAAAATGACATGGTTGGAGATGCTCTTAGGGGTCACGCCCCTATCACCCCCGTGTTGTGGCACGACGGAGGAGGCGCGACCCCCGACAATCACGTCCGGGTCGCGCCCCTTACGGCATGGTGTGAGGATACTCTCTTTCTCTTTCTCTTTCTCTACAGCAAGCAATATGGCGACATTAAAGACCCCCAACAGCGCCATAAATGCCCTTTCATCCTCTCAATCCCCTCTGCAATAACTCCTCTCTCTCTCTCTCTCTACCCCTTCCCCTTCTCCATCTACTCCTCCGATCCCTTTCCAATGCTCTCTCTCTCTCTCCTCCTCCCCTTTCTTCTTCTTCTTCTTCTTAAATTTTATTCACGAGAAATATAAGTTTCCCAGCTGCTTCTGCAACTACACACCAGATCCATCACCCACCCAGGGTAAGTTTATATATCTCCCATTCAAAACCAGAAAAATAAAACTTTTCTTTTCTTTTTTAACGCTGTCTAGGTTTAATTTCCGTTATGTAATATTTTTTTCAAATTTGCAGACATAAGAAGAAGAAGAAGAAGCCCGTCAAGGACCGCTATTTTCGCTGGCGTTATATTCTCTTTTTTTTAATTTTTTTTTTAGCTTAAAATTATAAATCTCTCAAGGAAGGAAAAAAAAGTGAGAGAAAATATATATATATATATATATAAATATTTAAGTTTATTTTATAATATACATATAAATACAGTTTCAGCCTTTTTGCTGTCAAGACAGACAGACAAGGAGGAAAAAAAACCTCGGTTTTAACATCCTAAAAAAACTTAAGTCAAACCTATAGATATATATATATACACCATGAGAGAGGTAGAGAGAGAGAGTCATCATCTTTAGGGTTTCTTCTGGAGATAATATAAAGTTCAGGGACCTTGTGTGAAGTTTCCGGCCGGCGAAGGGCAACGGCGGCGGATGACTGAGTAAGTGAGAAATGGGTCATCGAAGAAAAGTTCTAATTTGTGTAATAAGTCAATTATTTATACATTTTAATTATGAAGTTGCACCAACATGCTTACCCTTTTTGGGAAAAAACGTTTGTGTGATTGTTCTTTTGTTTTGCGAAATCACACTGCTAATTTGACGTTTTTTTCTTCTTTTAATTTTGGTAACCTCTAGCTGTGCAGATCTATAGCTTTGAAGAAGTAACAAGTTTTATTCAGCTTGGTAAAAATAATAATAATAAATTAAAAAGATGTATCAGCCAAATATGTACCTCGAGAGCCACCACCACCGCCACGGCCACCACCACCTGCTTGACATGAGCGGCCACAAAAACCCGGAGAACGAGTTCGATAGCATGATAAGAGAGGAAGAGTACGAGAGCAAATCGGGCACGGACATAATGGAACCGCCGTCCGGCGACGATCAAGATCCCAATCAACGCCCCACCAAGAAGAAGCGTTACCACCGCCACACTCAACACCAAATCCAAGAAATGGAAGCGTTAGTGTTCTTTTAATTCTTACTACAATGTTTATATAATGCACTTCTTCACATATATTTCTATATGTTTCATCATGATCTTAGGGTTATGCCAGTAATAATAATTTTTTCATTTGTCCCAAAAAGAAATTTTAATTGAATATTTAGGAGTATCAAATTTTGATCACCTTTTTTATTACTTATTATCTACGTTTATTTGATAAAATAATATCTTTATATATATCTTAATTAAATTTTTAAATTAAATGTTACATTTTAAATTTATACTATTAAATCAACTTAAATAAGATTGAATTATCAAAATGATATTCAAATAAAATCTCTTAAGTTTCGTTTGGTAC